GCTGCTTCAGGCAATGTCGAGCATTCTGGTGAAAAACAAGGGCCATTACCCCGCTGTGGTTGTGTGTCGGGATGGAAGAAGTCATAGGCTTCAGGTGAGATAGCCATTGGACTCTCGTATGCAAGCCCGTGGGGGGCTCTTTCTTGAGCTCTGGTGATGGTAGACGAGGAAAGAATGAGGAAGAGAAGCAAGGAAACTAGGGTTGTCATGTTGGTGGCTTTTGGTTTACCTTCTCTTCAATGTTAGAAGAGCAGATACTAGTACCACTAGAGTATTTTATTTAGTGTGAGATGCTTCATCTTTCAGATTCTTAATTTGGCTTTTTATAGGATGTTCAGTAGTGGTGGTTGCTTGGAGATGAATTAAATGCACAAATACCTGGAAAAGGTGGGAACTAAATGATAGACCTCTACTTGATGGATTCTTGGTTGAAATTGTGTGACTTTTGTCAATCAAGTAATGTAACGGTTTGCACAATTCTACTTTCTAGTCTCATTGCCCTTGCTGCATTTATTTTGGGATCGAATATGATTTACTCTCGCAACTAGGGACAACTGAAAAAGGTGCCCCGACTATTGAAGTTTCAAAGTTCTTGTGTAGGAACACAGCATTTTTCTTGCAGCTAAGTTATGCACTTTAATTCATTTTAAGTGACAAAATTTATACAAGCAAAAAGAATTCCTATCATGGTCACAAAATTCGCACTAAGAATTAATGGAAACAATTGAAGGTTTAATCGTATGGAGACCAATGCGAAATGGAGGTATGTCCAATTTTCTATTCACGGTTAGAATTTATCTGGTTTACTGTAGGTGGATGCAGAGTAAGAGAGAGAAATTTGAGAAATGGACTGTTCTTTCGGTTATGGATTATTATGTGGTCTGTTTCCCGTGTGGCGCTGAGAATTATGTTTCTACTCGAGTGCCTTCTCAATCAGAAAATAAGAGCATGGGGCACTCATGGCTATGTTAATATTTGTACTGATTAACAGAAATTTCATTGCAAACTTTTGGCACTTCCAACCTATTATTGGAAATCATTAGTCACCTAAAGAGACCCTAAAGCCCTTCCTCTTGTTCTGGATCATCAAACTTAATTCATCAGAAATGCATAGAAAAAGAATTTTACTTACTTCATTGTTCTGGACATTATGATACTTCATTGCTTTTCACTTTTCCCCTGGAGAAGTAAGGAACAGAAGCTGATTAGATGGTGGGTTTTGCTTAGCTTAAAGGCTCAGCAAAGGTCCTTAAACTCCATGTAATTGATGGGATGAGGTTAATCAACATTTACAAATGGCAGTGCCTCTTTCAGCTGTTTTGTCTTGGGACATTATTGAGGAAGCCACAAGCGCATGCAATAGTAAAGAAATCAATGTTGCATCTTCAGTCTCGTTCTTCTGCAGTGCTTTTAATAATATCATGCCTTTTGCAACAGGCATGCTATCTCCCATATCCATACTTCTTTATTTTTTTTTAAATACTCAAATCCCCCTTCTCTATCTCTCTCAATAAAAAGAACCCATGTTTGTCCCAGGAAGCACTTGCCCTTGTATTAATGGGCTTTGAAGTTTGACGCAGGTTACTAGTTTCAGTTAAATCATGAGGGTGTCTAATGAGAGAATGTTGAGCCTTCCACTTCACAAGAAGCACGGACACGAACTTTACTGTTCTTGTATTATTTCCTTCTGCATTTTCTGCAATGCCACTTTCCCTCCCATGGCCGTGAGAGCCATTATGCATGTTTCCCACAATTGAATCTTTGGAGTCGGCTCAAAAGAATCCTTCATCAAACACCACCAGGCTCGTGACTAATTAATGTAAATGAAGATTATTCGAATGTTGCTATAGGATTTAGGTTCCGTTTGATAAAACTAAATTTGAATTCTGAAGTCTGAATTCTGAAACAATTAATTTGCTGAAGTTTAAGCACTGAAAAAAATATATAAATGACTGAATTTTAATGCTAAACCTATTTATACTATTTGATAAACATGTATAACTAAATGCTTAATAAGTTAAATTTAATAATTTTGCCCTTATATCTTTTCATCCAAAAAAGAAATAGAACCTATAATTTAATTATTTTAAAATTGTTAGGTATGTAAATGACAATATTTATTTTTAAGTCAGATTAATATAAAAGATGAAATATATTATATGAGGAGTATGGAGAAGATGTGAAAGTCATTAAAAAATGAGAAAAGAGAAATAGAAAACCTTAGATAGAGAATATCAGGTTGTTTAATTAGATAAGAATTTTGAACATAATTAACAAACAATGATAGATTTGGTAGATAAGATAAGGTAGTTGAAGTAATTCTATTAATTCTTATAAGAATTAAGCATTCAGTTAGGATTCTTGTGCTGAAAAAAATACACACAATTTCAGCATTGCTTAACAAGTTCAGCAGATGGATTTTCATCTATCAAACACTCAAAACATCTGAATTTCAGAAAAAGTTCAGTTTCAACACTTTTTAATGTTATCAAACAGACCCTTAGTCCTGTGTCAAAATTGCTGGATGAGTGAAATTTTGGGCACAACACAGAAATGAAACTGAAAAATCAAGCTTGTAGATTTGTTGCTTGCTATTCTAAGATCAGTAAAACTGACAAAACCATGACAATTTACGAATCAAGAAGGATTATGACAAAAAGTTAGATTTAGAATTTTGGACAGCCTGAAAATCAAGAAATGATTTTTCTTCCTTTTCATTTTCCGTCCTATATGTTTCTTTCATTTTGAGTATTTGAGATTTGCCTTGGGCTTCTATTTGTCACATTTTCACCGTGTTGTGGCGAATCCATAATCCATATTGCATAGACACAAATGAAATGCTTCTCACTGTTCAGATTTTTTTTTAAAAAATATATGCAATGAGAATAGTAATTGCAGATTCTCTGCAATGAACAATAGTGATTGCAGATTCTCTCCAATGAACAATTAATGGTATCTTGAGATTGAATGGAGGGGATTAAATATAGAACATAAATTATAATATGTCAATTTTTTTAATATTTTTTACATATTATTGTGTTAGTGTCTAAATTCTGTTCAACCAGTGTCCACACTGTACAGTTAAAACCCGAATGTCGGATTGTAATTTTGGACGTATCCTAAATTGGAATATAAACCGCACGGATAACATGGCCCGCATAACACAACAAACTGAACTGGGCTCCCTGAAACATTGGGCCCATGAATATAAGCCCAAGAGATTTTGGAGTTCGAAACCCATGGGAATAGAAAGAACAACGCTGAACAAACTTCCTCCCATAAGGGGTTCGATCTGACTCAAATAGAATTAGTCGCATACCATACAACGTATGCGAATACCTGTGATTTATATAAAAAAAAAATTGATTTGAGAAATGATTTGATGTGTCACTGTTAATATTTGGAAGTTTTAAGAATTACTAAGGCAAAAGGTTGTAGTAAAAGTAAATTTTTTTTATATACTGTCACCATACATATTTTTAAATACCCAATGCCATAAAAGATTTCTTTGGAGCATTATAGTCCACTAGAATTAAAAATCAATTGATCAGTTTGTTCTTCATCATATTAAATAGGGTGAATGCGTTTCGTTTCTATCTGTTCCCTCAATGTGTATTTAATTTTGGAAAATATTATTTGCACTCCATTTTTGGTTATATGCACTTCTACCATTTATTTTATCATATAGTCTAATAAATGAAAACTATATGATTAAAATGATAGTGAGAGTATGATTAACAAAAAAGGGAGGACAAATAACATTTCCCTTAATTTTTAGAGTTAGACAGGATATAACTCCTTCATACTCTCTTTGGTATTCCTTTACTCAAAATAAGTATTTTTCTGTAGAGTATTTAATGGTATAGAGCACAATAGTAGATCCTTTTTTTTCCTTTTGTTTGTCTGTGATAAATTTATCTTGTCAAGAAGCCGCTTCTAGATTCGAATTCGAACATGTTTTTTATGGCGTGCAATGATAAAGTGTAATATTCTTTGTATACCACAAATAGAAGGATCAAGTGTCAAAATTTTGGAAGAATTTCCAGTTTTTACGTTATGTAGCTAATAAAAATCTCCGACCATGTTGTCATCCTTCTTTGAAGTACACGAAATTAAAAAGGGTTCCTCAATTGTCTAGATGATTCTGATAACCTCGAGAACCTTGATGCTTCCCTGTATATTGTGGCAAAACTCTGCCTTTCATAATGTAAGGTCAAAAGTGCATATCAATGGTCCAACAGCTAAAACCACCAACTCAGCTATATATATATATATATATATTTGGAAGATGCCTCTTCGATGAAGGCCATAAAATATAAAACTAAGGACAAGATAAGGTGGATTAGCTCAACCTATCATCCTTAGAAAATGACCAGGAAATAGCAAATAGGGACATCCCTTTTAAAAAAGTATAAGGAATTCGAGCTTCATTGACCTAACCTCCCTTTTTTTTTTTTTTTTTTTTGAGGGTACTGATACAGTTACTCAATTGGTAAAGAATCAAAAACATCATTATGCACTTCCAAGATGAACACTACAAAAGCCGACTCATCATCATGTCTTGAGCTGCTACAATGATAAAACAACAATATTGATAGTCTATTTCTTTCGAGTGATGATGGTACATACTGGTTAAATAATTTGTGGATAAGATGCTTTGCGGAAGCAAGGGATTTGACAACGCTTTTGCCTTTATTTGTTTATACGAAATTGGAACCAGCAGCGGAATTTAGTTAGAGGGTATGTTCATGATTCACTTTTTCCTTCTTCCAAGTTTTGATTGTTTGGTTTTCTACCAGAAATCTGTTCCTTGTTATTTCACAAGCTGGAGGAGTAATTTTAAGTGATGCTTGGTAATAATCTTCAGACTTCTGTCGTCCCTCTTAATGTTTTTTTTTTTTCCTTTTTCCTTTATTCTCTCATTTTGTCCTTCTGGAAGAAGTATATTGGTTGATTGGATCATTCAATATAAGACAAGACAAAGAAACAGGAATGGCAAATTGAATAAGAAACTACAATAATGTTTGATTTTCTTTTTAATTTCCTTAAAAATTCACGAGCAGACAGCACAAGAAGGGAAGTTAAACAAGAAGAGAAAGGAGTAGGTAAAACACGAGCTAAAGAAAAAGAAAAGATAAAGATGAAAACACATGGATACAAGATCCCTGAAACAAAGTGGAAAAGAGAACATCAAATCAAAAGGGTTCCAGCTAAAGACACCCCTTTTTTCCAGCTAAAATATATTTACAATTTAAGTGGCCCTCTCCAATTTTCGCTCACAATTTGCAAAGGGACTCTTGAGGAGGACGTACACGTACACACTCCCATACCCCACAGCAACAATTCCACGACCTCAGGCATTGCTCCTGAATGATCCCAGAGCCTTAATTGCTCCCGCTCGAAGGATGTACTGGTGGTAGAATGCAGCAATTGCAGCTCCAACGAATGGTCCAACCCAGAAAATCCACTGCATTAATAAGCACCATGCATTAGCCATGGAGTATATTAGTTAATCTGGTGACCAGTAAGAACTATATATATATATATATACACACACACACACACATATTCATTTTAATGGGTTTACATAAGGAGGTTTTTATCTTGCTTACATGGTCATCCCAGGCCTGGCGTGATCCATAAATTACAGCAGCTCCAAAGCTCCTAGCGGGGTTGATACCAGTTCCAGTAACTGGGATGGTGCCAAGGTGAACCATGAAAACAGCAAATCCAATGGGAAGAGGAGCCAACACCTTCACAATTTAAGTATTACTATACTGTGAGTATGTGGTTAACAGATGTAATGAGTGTGGATTTTCAATTAATTGAATCAATCAGGTCAAAAACAAATTGAAAGAGATAGCCTAACAATGCCAAAGCACATGATGTCACCATGTTTCATTGCCCTTAGACTTGAAAGCCACCAGGCCAATCAGATGAGGTTTCCCGAATTTTGCGAATATTGTTTGCGTCTTAGCATGTCTTTACCACTATATAGGGTAGAAAACAGACGACAAATGCATACCCAGTCATCATGTCTTATTGTGACATTGGTGGTGGTGTTAATACAGCAATATTAATGTCACATCTTCACTGAGCAGTGATCATTTATGAGTCTACTATTTAGTAAGAAGATATACATTCTTGTCACCAACACTAAATGCTTTGTAAACACATCAATTTTTTTATTTTATTTGAATAGCATAAAGGTTTTGGAGAGAAATGTTACAACATAAACTGTGGGACTATTTTGGGAGGGGGGGTTATATTAGACAAATTTTATCTATCTATAATAATAACTTCAAAAAACATCTCAAAAATTTTAAAATACACATTTCAAAATATCAAAAACGCGTATTATATGTTTCGAAGAAGCTTCAGATTATTGTGGGCCTGGGTTCATATGCGACTGGAATTATATTCCTGTTTTCTTAATTCATTTCGGAAAAGCTTGGAACTTGAAACTATTTGTCCTGGCTCTAAAATTTCTCATTTTAGTATGACCAAGAAGATATATATATATATATATATATATTAATAGTTTGGAGTATTATTTAATTAGTCGTCGATAAGCATATTGAAAACGGCCTTGATAAGGAGTTTAGGTCACCCACTTCGTTCACTCCCCGACTACTCCATGGTACACAGCATAATCACCTACATCCAACTCCCAACTACTAATAAAGTAAGCACCCACTTACAGGGTACTTATGTTCTCTTCCTTAACATTTGATCATGTACAAAGAACAACTCAAACGTTGAAGAAATAGATGCAAATTACATTCTGCACACTAATTACGAGTACCCTTTATCCACATACTTCATAAATAATTTAAGGGAAATGATATTATATATCTAAATAAAGGAAAAAAAAATGATCCATTTTCTATTTTTTTTAGCTATATTCACAATTTTAGTCTATCGCATAGTTTTCTCGTGTTTTCTTAGTAACTTTTTGTGGTTGAAGATATAGTCTAATCAATAGTCTTGTTGCATCTTTTTCCTCCAAATTTGAAAAAAAAAAAAAAAAAAGTCTTGATTCATGGGGAGATTTTGTTTTCTCATAGGGAAAGGTGAACGAAAGTACTCGGTACTTGTTAGTTACCACTCTTCTTCTTCTTCTTTTTTTCGGTTTGTCTTTATTACGACCACATTCCTAGTCATTAACTGACAATTAAAGCTTAATCCAGCAGTAAAAGGGCAAAAAAAAAAAAAAAGAAGGTAAAATGGCATGCAACATGGAGAGAAAATTAAGGAGGGGAGGGTAATTAAGGTGCATACAGGAATATGGGAGTCTCTGGCATTTCTCTTGGGATCAGTGGCTGCGAAGACTGTGTAGACCAAAACGAAGGTACCGATGATCTCAGCTGCCAATCCAACCCCGATGGTGTAGCCGTGAGCCACCATGTTTGCTCCGCCACCGTACCTGTTGTAGAAGGACTTTTGGAAAGCCTTCACCAGCCCCACACCGCAGATTGCACCCAGGCACTGCGCCACCATGTAGAAGAAGGCTCTGAGCAGTGAAACCTTCCTCGCCAAGAAAAGTCCAAATGTCACGGCCGGGTTGATGTGTCCTCCTGTCCAGTGTCACATGAACTAATTACAGCCCATATAAATTAAATTTTTAGCTTCTCGAAAATCTATTTCAAATATACTACTATATCTTGTTTTCTTGATATATTTGTGAATTTTAAATTTTATATTTCTTAAAAAAACTAAATAAGTATAAGTTGAGTCGAGAAAGTTGATCAAAATTATGATATATCATAATAAAAAAAATTATTGAGACGTTAAAATTAATTTGGACTTTATTGATAGTACCACTAGCTTTGGGAAATCCTAGTAACCTAATTTATAGTGGTGCTTTAAAAAGCCTTGCTTCAAGGTTCACTGCCTAATACTACTATATAAGTAGTAGTGCTAAACATAGTAGAGTAAAAATAAATGTTTAGATAAATAAAAGAAACCTTACCAGAAATACCGGCAGTGCAGTAAACAAGAATGAAGATCATGCCACCGAAAGCCCAAGCGATGCCCAGGATACCGACGCCGTTGCAGTCGTCGCCGCCGGCTGTGGTGTCAGTCTGGTGTTTGTAGCCAATAACCGTTAAGACGGTGACGTAAAGGAAGAGGAGGGTGGCAACGAACTCAGCAATAAGGGCTCTGTGGAATGACCATTTGGTCAGCTCATCCAAGTCGAAAAAAGCTGCCGGCGGAGGATCATGGTAGTCCTTGGCTGAGAACTCGCCTTGCTCCGCCGCAACTACCCCTTCAACGTCTTTCGCCATTCAACTTTCTCGGTTTGTGGGGCAGAATTTAGCCAAAAAAAACAAAAGAGAGACAAAGAAAGCGAGTGTTGAGCAGAGAGTGTGGTGAGTGGAGAAAGTGGAGAAAGTGGAAAAGGGTGATATGGTATTTATCGGGGTAAGGAAAAGGGGAGAGAGACGTTAATGATTAAGATTTAAGAGCGCATGGCATTATTTAGTTGAAAATTTTCGCCGCCCAATACAAAGTAATATGGAAATTCTAGGCTTGCACGGTCCTACCATCAACACCAACGGCTGCTTCTAGTGCTAATTCTTGATTATGATGGGATAGTGAATCATCGAGGTTATTCATTTCTCTACCCAAATAAGAATAATATAAAACAAGAAGGTGGTTTAGCCGTCTGATTAATTACGAGCTAAAAATCCCATTTTACACTAAACTTTCATTTGGATTGGGAGCAATTAATGAAAAAAAGCATCCATGAAATGAAGTGGTTCCGTGCTATCAGCTATGTGGTGTAACGGAGTTTGGATAATCTCCTAGTTCATTCATTAGATAATTGTTCATTCATCAGACGGACTAGACTTGTTATATATGCAATTAGCTAAACAATTTTACTCTTTGCATAATTTTAAGGTAGAAGAAGCATAGTACTAGTTACAAGAATATAAGTGAAATTTTTATGTTTAAAAGGAGAAATTTGGTAAATTTTAGAAATCTGCGGGATGCCTATCCATCCTGTTAATCATAAATAATTTTTTGATTTGGAGGAAAAAGAAAATCAGTGAAATTAATCTCATCCACTCGCACATAGATACTGTAATTCATTGAATCAAATATGTCAAAATTGGGGCAAACCCAGAATTCCCTTGGAAAAATATGGTTGTTTCCTTCATCAAACTCGTTTACTTCTCTTTTTCTTATATCTCTTTTCCTCTTTGTTATTATTATTGTTTGGCTAGAGGGTTTTTTCCATGTAACATTCACCACAGTAGTGGGTTCTTATTCTTTTGCTATGAAAGGGATCAATAAATAATTAACTTAGTTGTCCTCTATTGGGAATTGCATATTCGTCTGATATGCGAATCCATATTAAGGACGAAAGCGATAATGTATAACCGAGGATGTTTCTACACAACCTGATAATTAAATACAGCTGAGAATTATTATTAATGTTATCATTACATTAGTCTCGAACCCTTATCCAATTAAAATATGTAAGCTCAAACTCTGATCTCTTATTTATTTATTTTTTAAAGAAAAAGAAGTCTCACATTATTGGACAGGCAATTGTCTTATTGCCTGCTGCTGTCAGCAAGCCAGATAAATTTTTCTGGTTCTATGCCTAAAAGCCCCTCTCTGATTAATATTTTTATGGTAACATGTGGTGCAGAATTAATGGGATTATGATCACAGAGCATGTTATTTGACTGATGCTCTAAATAAATGATGATTATTCTAAACCAGAATCTTTTTTTTTTTTTTTTTTGCTCATTTTTTTTATACCGGACACTTCCAGCTTGAAGTGTATATGAAGTGAGAATTATGATACTTTTATGTCCCCAATACATGTTATATTAACAGACCGAGAACCATCCATCGTTACTTTTCATCCTTTTTTTTTTCCTTGAAATATTGTTGGAGTTGACAGAGTTTTAATGATTTTTAAAGGAAAATGATCCCATATATGTTCTTTTCCTAAACTAATGGGTTGTCATCTATTTTGACAGCTCGTTAGAAGAAAATTTAATTTAAAGCTAAATTAAAATGTTACCTTCAACAAAGAAAGAAAAAAGCTAAATTTTAATGAGCTCCAACTGGGTCCTAGTTGTTAAGTTCATCACTGAAAATTATTAAACATTAAAAAAAAAAAAAAAAGCTGATGCATCATGAGCTGGAGCAATCACAAGATGATCACGGATGACCTGGCCAAATTAGAATTGAAAGTAATTAAGTGCTAAATTATACGATCCGAATTGAGTGCAGAACTAAAATGGCAGCAGTAAAGTTTTCGCGAGTTAAAAAACAAAAAATTGACTGTTTTAAGTTTTCAGAAATATATTAGTGAATGAGCTCTTAATTGACTAGTATAAGAAAAACAATTAACTGTGAGATTAAGGTCTTAACCATTCCACTTGTCAAATTCATATCGATTCATGGCATCAAGAATTTCTCTATTACTGACGTAATTACAAAGGAAAAAAAAAAGAAATTGCAAACGAATTAGCCGACCAAACCGACCACCCAGTGATAAACGTCCACCTGTCATAAATCATATGCTATCCATTCGCCTGTAAACACGTGGAATTATATAATTTTCTTCTTTCATGGTCAATTAAGAAATTGTAGCTTGTCAATCAATTATTGGGTACGCCAGAGGTTTACATCATCTCCAGTTCTGGACGTTGATTTCCGAACTTTTGTACCCTCGGAGTTGTTGAATTCCACCCTAGTACATGGCTGATTATGCACCACGTGTCGATAATCAAATCTCTTGTTGACCCAAGAATAATATCAAATGAAATTCATATCGGGTTGCTAACGAAGGGTTGGCCTTAATTTCTGAGTATTAAAATTTTCAATTGTGGATTAATACTTTAATTAACAAGTAGTGGAAACTGGTAACAGAAAGGGTTCTTATTTAAGTTGCGGGAATTATAGAGATTGTGCTTTTTTGTTCTGGGAAAACAAACGAGTCGATTTCTGTTAAACAGAAGACTTTTGATTTTTGTAGCATAATAGTAGAAAGAAACTTTTAACTCAACGAGTAAGATAATCAGAAACTAGGCAAATGAAAAACTAACTCGGGATAAGAGTTAGAATGGGCAATTACCCTTTGAAGCAAACTTCTCAATTTGAACCTTCACATATTCCTTCACAAAAAAAAAAAAAAAAAAAAAAACTTCACATATTCCTTTCAAGTCTCTTAATCTTATTAAAAATATCCTTCTTTATACAAGATGAAATCGAAGTGAATACAAAGTATAACAACAACCAATTAAGTTAGGAGTTCCTTTTTTTATTTTCAAGTCTTGATTGGGTAAAACTGAAAGATTTGTATGGTAGCATACTCGTCTAATAGGAGTTTCGGGTCACAAAAAATACTTGTATATTAGGATAATGCGCCTTCAAGTGGGTAATCCAGTGGTAAAACAGACTCTTGAACTAAATGACATCCTGAATTTGAATCTTTCCCTATATTTAAACCCTCCTGTTTAACTTGGGTACGTTGTTGGTGTGTCGGTTTGGGTCCTAAGTAGCTTGAGTCGGACATGTTCCGGATCATCAAAAATACTCATCTAATAGGATGATGGTTTAAACTTTTTTGATTGGCTGATGCTGTGTTAACGGGGTATATATATGCCCCCTTCAATAGTGTATTCTTTTTGTTTATCAATTTAAAAATCAGGAAGCTTACCACAATATATATATAACGCACCCATTTAGCTGATAAATGTACTTGTGAACAGCCACGGATTGAAGGGGGGGCTGGTGGGGGCTTAAGCCCCCCCTCCAAGCCGCCGGAAAACCCCCTATATATAGGGGATTCCGGCGGCCAGCCCAGCCATTCCGCAGAGGGCAAGCTCAGGCTCCTGCTTGATGATTTTTTCTTTGTCTGATGAGGTCAGACATTCCGCAGAGGGTTGCACGTATCCATACCCAAACCCTATGGCAGAGTTGCAATAAGTCTCTACGGTACCATCCCTAGATTCTAGGTTGATGTTGTTCAGCACAATGTGGCTGCAAGGAACCGTGTCGCTGCATGCAAATTTCATGGCGTTTTTGCTTTTGGAAGTCCCGCTAATGTTCTTGTACATGATTTCACTTATTTCAACTGCAGAACTCTGGATATAAAAAGTCGTTGTCAGGATATTTTAAGGATGAGTAGATAAACAATTGCCTGCACTTTTTTTTTTTTGGGTCGAATTTTAGTATCATTCAGAGTTTATTCACCAAAGAGAGCAGAAAATACAAAGTCCGTCTGGTTCCCAATTAACCAGCTATTCTGGAAAACCATGAAGCTAGAGGGTGAATCATACCTGGTTCTGGCAAGGCGTCGGCGAATCACAGTAGAATTGGTCAATGATAATGGGATTTGAAACGTCATCTACTCTCACATTCTGATATCGTACCCCTCGAACATACCCAGATCCTCCCTGCAGAGCTACCATTTTTAATCATTCTCCATATAATTATATGTTTTTATTATTTTTATAATTATTGATTCTAAATTTTACTTATTAAATATATTTATTTCGTCACAAAAAAAATTTTTAATACACTTCGGCCCCCCCAAAAATAAATTTCTGGCTCCGTCCCTGCTTGTGAAGGTCATATTTAGCCGACTCAGCAGAATGATCGAGAGATGGAGAAAAACAAGAAGTTCATGTCCAATTTGATATCTTAAAAAATGAGTGGTCTTGTATTGTCACCCCATCCTCGGCGTTAGAAACCTGCTCTAGGGTAGTCTATTACAGTCGTGCTGGAAGTGGATACTGTAGTATGTCATGATCACCAGATGTCTAGATCAGATCCCTTAGCTCAGTGAGCCTCCAATTGTATCAGTACAGATTGACCCAAATCCATGTGCCAGAAACCCTGTGCCAACTATTAATTTGCCTAATTACTACGCTGTCTTCTTGTCAACCTACCTACCTGCAGTGTTTCTCGATCTCTCTCCCACTTTTTTTTTTTTTTTTTTTTTTTGTCGAAAGATCTCTCTCCCACTTGCCTACCTGCATTTGGTACTTCTGAGTAAGACTGTTACGAGTCTTTCTTCCTTTCTTTCTGTGCAAACTCCTTGTAGACGTAGTCATGCATCAAATTCCAAAGTGAGAATGGAAAAGGGAAAAGCAGCGAAGAAGTGCGAGCAAGAAGGGCGGGACCAATTAGAAGATTGTGGTTATTACGATGCGTGCATTGTTCATTTATCACATACGTACCGATTAACGTCCCGCCTAATTAAGGCCTGAAAAATATAGGAGAACAGGGCAGGGATCTTGCATAATGATGATATCGATTTGAAAGTAACCCTAATAACTTACATAGAAATGCACATCCGTGTATCTCATTGATGAATAACCCTAATAACTTACTTCTGTACGCTCACATTAAAATGTCGTAAGAAATG